CTTTGACTCTTCTGGACTATAATGACTCACTACAAAAGAAATGTAAGATGATGAATAGATAGATAGGTAGCAATGATGATTAAAAATTGAGAGGAGTATTTTTAAATTCCCAACTTCAGTCTGTGGCTCAGCCTCTTCTGAAAGGGCTGCACCATGTGGAAAATTGAGTCTACTGCAGATAACAAATGTTATCATTCCAAATAGAGGATAGAGAAGTGGGCTTTTAAATCTGCAAGTTTTGGCTTCAGATGACAGTTACCTGTAGACAGTTGTATCCAAATCATAAGGTTGACTTTGCTTTCGATTGCAAGATTGTCTAATTTTTACTATCTTCTAGTAGTGCAGTTCTCTGTCTTTGGAGAGGCTACAATAGACAGGACAACATTTTCAAAATTATTTATGGGATTTTTGTTCTTCTTAAAATGTTTTACATTTGTGAAGACAGAGCAGATACACAAAATCTGTTAAATTATATGCCGTGTAACTTGGAAAATAAGAGAATTGGTGAGGAGGGAGAGAATTTTCTGATAGATTTTTAAATGTTACACATTGAGAGCTGTAAAAAAGAAATACACATATGATGGTATTACCATACTTTTTCAGTGAGAGAGATGTTCAGGCAGGCATCAGATTACTAAAAAGAGCAGTGTGAAAGTTATTGTTACAGGATATATTCTTCAAGGAAAGCTGTCACAGAAAACAGTGACTTAAGCAACTAATTTGACAAAACAATCTTAGAGAAAACAGTAACTTGATTAATGTTCTTTTCTTGTTCTTCAACATAAAATAATTTTAAAAGAAGGAACTGAGTAGATGAATAATTAAACTGGTGAGATAGTATCTGAGTTGGATTCTTTTTGCATATTGCTGTGTAAAATCTAGTAGTTACAGTTTAGGCAGTTTTCTCTCTTTGATGGAGGAGGTGTTGAGGAACAGCCATATCCCAGTGATTCAACAAGGAAGGATGATGCAGTGTGTCTTGTGCTGGTGGTGGCTGTGCTTTCTCAAATGATATATAAAGATGGTGAGAAAAATTGAATGTGAAGAGGCCCTATAACAACTTCCTCAAAAATTGACTTATTCCCAATGTGTGGGCCAATAAATTATTTATTTCCTTACTAATTTTTCCTCATGTTTTAAATTAGGTAACATAGTTGCTGAGATGATTTAAAATGAGGAATAATCTACCTGTTTGCTCTTTAGAAGCAAGGATGTCTGAATTCTCCTGCTATAAACCTCTGGGTTACTTTGGATGCAGCACTATAATGCCTGCTGCACTGGTTTCTCCATCTGATGGATACAGTCATCTGGGGGAAGCAATACATCTTTCTTCAAAAATGCTTCAGGAAATTATAGCACAGTATAAAGAAGTCCTGATTGGAAAAACACAGGTAATATGGCATTTTATTGTCTAGATTATTAATTCAGCAACTCTAATTTACAAAACTATCATACAAAACTGCTGAGAGTCCAGTCTTTGAAGGGCTTGCATAGGGCACATGTCTAGGAGTCAGGATGTGCTGGCAAGTCTGCACTTGGGAGTTTATCTCCTCTGGGAGAGGTATTTATATATTAGATACATGGTAAAAACGCTCTCTGCTACTTAGGGCCATTTATAATTTCCCTGTTCAAACATTCAAGCTAAATGCTGAATATACTCTTACTAACTCAGTGGCTCTCCATCTACCCAGCCCTCAAGGGATTGCTATTCTGGGCTCTGGGGTGATGTCACCACTCCTACTTCACAGTTCCGCTGATGTGGTACAGTCCTGTGCCTTCATCTGAGACATAGAAGATGAAGCTTTCCTTAGTAATTCTTAACTTTTGTAAACAGGTAGCCCTGTTTCTGCTGCCTCTGCTATCATTAGGAGAAAAGTGACATCTTTCACACGAGGGCCATTCCACTTTTTTAAATGGGCCTGAGACAGCTATTACAAGGTGAGTGAAACACCTTGTGTTCTTACTCCCTGCCTGAAAAACCCGGGGAAGACTGCAGTGTATCGCTGCTGCATTGAGGGAGCAGAAAACTAATCTTTCTAAATTTTTTCCCCAGAAAGAGTAGATCTGTTGTGAGTCACTAAACTAGGAACTACAGAACCTGCACAGAAAACATGAAATGTCAGGCAGCTGTGTTAAGAATCAACTTCCAACCTGCTCTACCCACTAGCTCTTATTGTTTGTGCCAACATGAAACTAATGGAGGAAGGGAGGGTATATGCTGAGCTCTTAATTTCTGAATGGCAGGGTTGGACTTGCCTTCAAGTCCAAACTTGCTAAGGTTCTAAAATGTACAGTGAAAGTTCCTAAGTAAATTTTGTTCTGCCCACTGATAATACCACGCCATAACCATGTTTTTTCAGTGTTGCCATCCCACAGTAATTAATGGCATCAAAGAGGATGTGGCAGGCCATATAATAAATCCAACCATTCTTACCCATAAGCTATACCTGAAAGTCAGATGATTGTGAACTCTTCAGACTACAGATTCTTTATCCAGTCATTTGAGAGAGAAAGAAGGGAAAGCAATGCCAGTGCTGAACTCTGGAGAATCTACCCAAAATTTTAAGTTGTTAACTGTCTGTCATAGTTCCTGAGAGATTCCCAGCTTTTCCTGGGCTCCCAAAGCCACACTGCTCACAACATGTAAGCTGAGAGAACCTATTTTTGTTGTACTTAACAGGGAGGTTGAAGCCTTGCACTAATTACAAACCAGTACGTAGTATCATCAGAGGAGCTATGACCAACTCCTGTATAAAGCTTACATAAGTGGTGAGTCATGCAGTCTTAGGAAAGAATAGGGAGAGAAGCTTTCATTATGTTGTTTGCCTAATCAGAAATATGAAAATAAAAGAACACAGCACTCAGTGGGTTACGTTTGGCTAACTGTACGCTGGAATTTCTGCAGTTGCACTACGATTGAGGCATTTCATTGTTTGTGGTCCCAGCTTATATTAAACAGAGAGGATTTTTTCCATAAATCTTTGCCTCCAGGGCACAGTTGAGATTGTTTGGGAACCCTAGCTATGTGTTTCTAGACATTAATGTCTGGAAGCAGCACCATGAGAGTAAAAATGAAGGTATATGCCTAGGGAGGGTACTGGGAGTAAATTAAGAAACCCAAGGGCAGGGTAGGGTTTGTGAGGATAAACATCTGAAGAAGCAGTGAAGTGGAAGAGAAGCTTTTAGGATGACTGAAAAACAGTCTAGAGATGATCTCTCATATCTTACTAGTCTCTTCCCATGCTCTCAGGCAGATAGTTAAATGAGTATTACTTTATCCACCACTTGTTAACCATGAGTTGAGATGCCTACAGCCCTTAGAAGACAACTGCAGAGTTTTGAGGATCAAGGTTGGATGAAGCTTTATCTGCAGCAACAATTCTCTTTTTACACTGCTCTGATTAACCCACCACTACTTCTCATTTTCCTCCAATAGTCTTCTGCACCTCATGTGGCAAACTGGATCAGCATGTTTGTCTCCTGGTGGAAAAAAACACACTCCTCCCCAACAACAAAAATCAAACAAACAAACACCAACAAACAAAACAAACAAAAAGCCAACAATAAAACCAAAACAACACAATAAAAAAAAAAGGCAAAAACATAGCATTAATAACTATCCATATTTTTTTAAACGTGGCTATACGAGCTGAAGGCTAGAATGAGTGACAGAGGGAGGGAGTATGAAGAACCATGTGGCCAAGTCCCAAGGAACTTCAGCATTAGTGCAGTAGAAGGTGAGTGCTTCCTATGTCAGAGCTGCTTGAACAATCCAGATTAAACTTCGTATTCAAATGGCTGATTTGGGACTGCGTGGAGCTGTAGCCTCTTTGTCTCCACCCTGTTCTCCTGTGGGTCTATATGTTTGCTCAGTGCAAGTACTCCTAACACAGTGCACCTGAGCAGAGCAGCCAGTAGACATTTCTACCTGCCCCATAACCTGCCTCCCGCTGCTTTCCTGCCTGGAAAGGGAACACAGTGCAGTGTGTCACAAGCAGAACAGGCACCACTGTATGAACCATTAGGAATGTATAATTGCTCCTCTAAGTTGCCAGACTGCTTTTAAAAAGACTAGTATGCAGGATGCTTAAGGTTTGGTTGGGTTTGTTTGGAGGATTTTGGGGGTTGTGGGGGTTTGATTTGGGGCTTTTTTCAGGGGGTGGGGTAGAATCCTCTTCATCAATCAATGGGTGGGGAAAAAAAGGCAAAGTATTGAAAGCTGGTTGACTCTGGATTTATTTGAGCACTAAAACTACTCTTCAAAATGTGTGTGCCTCCTCCCATTCCTGATTACTTCGAACCGTGGCTGCTCTTGCTGCACTGCAATAGCAGAACCCCGGACTCTGTCCCTAAACCCTCTCCCTGGGGCAGCTGTAGGGCCGGAGTTGGAGACTCGGATGACTGCAGCAGGCTCTGTCCCGCAGCCCGCATCCGCCGGGAGGTGCCGAGGCTCTCGGGGATTCCACAGGTTGGGAGGTGCCGAGGCTCTCGGGGATTCCACAGGTTGGGAGGTGCCGAGTCTCACGGGGATTCCACGGGCTGGGAGGTGCCGAGGCTCACGCCTATGGCCAACTGTACTTTTCATTGCTGCTGCCACGACAGGATGCAGCACCTGGGCTCAGCAGTGCCCAAATCAAAGCCTTTTTCGAGGAGGGAGGAAGGTGGATGTAAAGGACGGTATTTTCGCAAGTGCGGTGTTCCCCGCAGACCCTGGCCATCCATGCCCCCGGCAGCCAGAGCTACCCGAGCCCGGCCGGCGGCCCCTCTCATGTCAACGAGCGATGCCCCATTGAGCCCTTAAGAGCCCTTGATGGCCGGGGCGCGGCGCGGCCGCCCATGCCCGGGGCCCCTGGCCCTGAGGGCTGCGCGCCCTGCCCGGCTCTCCCCGCACTCGGCTGGCCGCGCTCAGCCGGGCCGGGCCGGGCCCCCGCAAGGGCCGCTGCCCCCTCAGCGCTGCGCGGGGCACCCGAGGCGGCCTCGCCGAGCCCGCGGCGCTGTCCATGGCGGCCCGGCCGCCCTGCCCGGTGCTGCGGCTGTGCCTGGCCGCGCTGCTGAGCCTGCGGGCGGCCAGCGCCCTGCCCCTGGCCCCCGGCCCGCGGGGCGAGGTGCAGGCGGCGGCTTTGCAGCGGCTGCGGGAGGTGTTCGACGTGGAGGAGCTGCCGCCCGACGTGCTGTCCCGCAGGAAGCCGCCGCAGTTCATGGTGGATCTCTTCAACAAGGTGGCCGACGCCCACGGCATCACCCGCGCCCCGGGGCTGCTGCAGGGGGACGTGGTGCGGAGCTTCGAGGACAGAGGTGGGCCGGGGCGTGGATCCCCGCGGAGGGGCTCGGCCGACGGCACACGGGCAATGACCCGGCGGGGTGCGTGGCTGGGGCTGCCGGGTCTGGCGAAGTTCCTAAACGAGGGTCTTTTCTAGCTCACGTGGACCAGCACCACTTCTACTTCGACATCAGCGCGATGGAGAAGGGCGAGCAGATGCTGAAAGCGGAGTTCAGGGTCTTCAAGCTCAGGATGACACGCGTGTCCAGAAGGTCCGACGTGAAACACTTCTGCAAAGTAAGTGGGGAAACAGGTAAACACTTAATTGTGCTATACCAGTGTCAGACCTATCCCAAGTCATACCATACTTTTCTGGGATTTGAGATGTTTCCAAATTCGAGTAGAACTTTATCTGCCTGAGCTGTTTTGAAAAATAATAATAGCAATCGGGGATTCCTAACAGAACAAGGCAGATCAGGATTCTGATATTCAGTCTGTGTTTTTCTGGCAAAGAGCAGGATGGGACTTTTTACAAACCTGAAGACAAAGATGTGGAGAAACTGAAGACTTTGAAGCTATTAGGTATTCAAAATAGAATAGGAATGGTCAGGATATTTTTCTGTAGAATCAAACAATTTGGCATACTGCCTCTGAACACATCTAGAAGTAGATGTATGTAGTGATAATTGTTTTCTCCGTTTAACTGTCCAGTCCAAAACCTACTTTTTGCCTTGTTTAGAATGATAGTACAGAATTACAGCTATGCTGTAGCAGAAATGTGCATAATCTTCATATTTCTTGTTTTGCTGGTAGAACAATTGGGTTAATTTCTTATTAGTTTTGTTGTATTGCTGTTAATCAAGGTGGAAGTGTATGAGCTCCTGGAGAGTGGAAGCAAGCCACAGAAAAAACATCTCATTGCGTCAAGATTATTGTCCCTGTATACAGAAGGCTGGGAAGTCTTCAATGTCACGCAGACAGTAAGCAGAGAAGTCTGACTTCACTTTATTTCTAAATCTCTTAAGGTGACAGCTCATAACTCCAGCATTGCCATTATGCTGGGGTTTGTGGTCAGTTCAAACTGAAGGACAGCAGCAGGGGGAGAAGCTTTCTCTCTACCCTTAAAAGCACACCTGGTGCTACCTGAATTAAAGAATTGTTTATATGCTGCTAGCTGCACATGCATGGTGAGAATTGAGTAACCCAAACCTAATCGATGGAGGGACATGAGGCCAAGCATGTCCTTGTGATACAAGCAATAATGCATTAGGATTTGGCATTGATTGTGTTCTAAAAGTAAGTTTTCATTTCTTCTTTTTATCCTGGCGACATTTCTATAGAACAGTATGCTTCAACGTTGTGTTTCTGGAATTTATCATGGTTGGATTGCTTTTCATTTAACTTCCTCTGTTGACTTCTTTATTCGTTAGCTTCAGGATTTGTTTTGTAGATATCCATAAACTGTAAAAGTAGTTGGTGAATGCCTTTCCATAGCAAAACAAAAGTCACACGGGGTTTAAGAGAAACATTTTTGGGGGTTTAAAACTGTACTCTCTAACAGTGTTTTTTGTTGCCTAAGCTTTATGATCCGACTGAACAGCATGCTTGGATGGTTGGTCAGATTGCATCTTAAGTCATGATATTCCTGTTTAAGAATGGCCTGGCCTTATCTATTAGTGTGTAATTATAACAATTAGATAAGAAAATGTGCTTGATTGCAAGGTAATTTCTTCAAATGCCACGTTTGTTAGATTTAAATGGTCTTAATGGTATGGAAAGTCTGGAGGGTTCATATTACTGTGCTGAGATTGCTATTAAAAATAAATTTCTGGTGAAAGTCAAAGAGTATTTATTTTAATATTAATACTTACACTCATTTGTTCACTGGTAAATTCTCTGAAATTAATTATCTTACTGTAAATATAGGTTTGGGGTATGCATATGCTATTTTTAAGTTTTTAAGTGCTGAGTTACTAATTATTAAACTCAATAGACTCTCAGCTATACAGTTATCTCACTTCTGTCATCCTATATGTCCTTATACTCTCACAGCTTGTTGCCTGATCCCTTTTCCTAATATAAACACTGGTTAATCATAATACTGTAATAGGAATATTGAAACAATATTATTTCATTTCCCTGTCACTACCAGGTTTCCAGGTGGGTTGGAAACAGCAGATCAAACCATGGCTTTTTGATAACAACGACACATGTATTCAACAATAGAATTGAACACAACCTGATTAAGTTTGCCAAGAGCCAGGACACTTTGCAGGAGAGTAGAAATGCTCTCCTTGTCCTCTTCACTAACAGTAACAAACGGAGGTCTCTCAACTTTGTACTGTCCTCCACAAGTAAGTTCACTCGAGTTTTGGAATATGAACTGTCTGTTCAGCTTCTTTTACCTCCTGCTACCTCATGTGTACCTAACCGCAGTTATTTATTTGCCGTGTTGAACACGTTTGAAGTTCAGCTTTGTCACTGATCAGAGTTTGATTTGATACTTCTTGATAGTAGGTCACTCGGCATCTTAAATTGCCTCTCCCATGAGAAAAACTGGGTTTGCAGGAAATGTTCATAAAAGCCTAAGGGGAATCTACTTTGTTTGTAAAGGGATGGGAGTTCTATTTTTTTAAGTACTATTTATGTTGGTTTTGTGGTGGTGAATATTGTATGTTAGGTTTAGACTTAAAAATCTTGGAAAACTTTGTGAAAATGCTGGTAAAGTATCTGTAAGTAGAGTTTTTAAGTGTAATTTTCAAGAGTGAAAGAGGTTGTTAAATAAGCAATTTGAACCTCTCTGTACTTGGTTTGGTTTTTAAGCACCTATTTAACTTCGGGGACTAATTAGCATTGTGACAAAAGGCTGCTTTCATCAACGACAACGCCCTTGTGCCTTAAATTACAAAACAGTGTCATACCTCTCCCACTGGCCTTCCTGTAAAACCAACTCAGGCTGGATTTTTAGGGCCTGATAAACGCAAAGAGCAAAAGTTGGGAGGAGGGGCAAAAATAATGCAGTTCTGGCTTTGCAAGCTTTTCTGATAAACGATCGTATTTGCATATCAGAAAGAAGCTAGGTAGGACTTGGATCAATATTAAGAAGTAGATAGTGAAATTGATTAAAAATAAAAATGAGATTGGCCTGTTTATTTTTGTTTTCCAAAGAAAAATTAATAATGAAATCCTAGAGCCCAATTTAATGAGCATCAAGCTCTACATGGGATACTGTGCCAGGACTGAGAAATTTCTCAATGAAGAAACTCCCTAGACCTGCCTGTTGTTTGTGGTCAGTGACTATATAGATTGTTCTTCTACATATCAGTGAGTTTCAGCTTCCGTAGATGGATCTTGAGGTCTCCTTGGATCTCAAGGCTTCTCCGAAGATACTTCAGAAAGCATCCTATTGTCAGTAAGCTTTATTCCTTAGCAGAGTTCTGTAAACTTGGTGGTGATTTTTTCAGATAAAAAAATTGAAAAATAATTTTTTAAAATGTTACTTTACACATTACCAGGTTACTGCACACTCCGTTTTGCAAATGTATGGGTTGAGTTTGTGGGAGAATACTGGAGAGAAAGAGGCTGTATCTCCACCCTCTGTTAGCACTGCTCAGCATAATGTGTGTTGTAGGAGTGACTGTGTGAAGACTGTTTATACCATTCTGACCAGATTCATCCCTGAAGAGGGACTGTGGAGTTCACAAAATGTATTTTGTAGATCATTGAATTTTTCCTTTGTATTTCTGCTGAATTGGGGTGCTTTTTTCACACAAAGTTAAATGCAAGATTTGGCAGGTTTGGAAATATGGCTGAAATGGCAATTGAATGCACACCCCTTCTGGTACGTTCACAGGTCAAGTGTCATTTCAAAATCTACTCTGAAGGCTTTGATGTAGATTTATGGAATATACTTTCATGCAGAATACTGTACTTACTAAATGAATTTCACTTGTGAAATATTAACACACAAATTCCTTTCAGAATCAGAAATAAACCCTGACAAAACTGATGCTTCTCATGTGCCTCATGAAACTGATGTCATCAAAAGCAGCAGTGCAAGCATGGACAGGAGACCTCGAGCTGCCCCAGTCCCTTCTGCCAAAGGCCAGGTAACAGCATGTCATCGAAGGGAACTCTACGTAGACTTCAATGCTATTGGCTGGTCAGGATGGATTATTTATCCAAGTGGATACAATGCATTTTATTGCAGAGGATCCTGTCTCTTCCCTTTGGGGGAAAGTCTAAATGCAACAAACCACGCTACAGTTCAGTCCATCGTCCATACACTGAAACTGTCTCAAGATGTCAGCACGCCCTGCTGTGTGCCAGATGAACTGAAGTCCCTCAACCTTCTCTACTTTGATGACAAAGAGAATGTGGTCCTTAAAAATTATAAAGACATGGTGGCAACAAGGTGTGGTTGTCATTAGCAGGACCTCTTTTAGTCTGCATTTGATGTGCACCTGGATTCAGTTCCCCATTTGTCACTGAAGATACCAGAGGAGACGGCATTTCACTTTACAGGGCAGGAGAGCCAGAAACTTGCCTGTGCTTTAAATCCTTCTCCTCTCACCATGGCTCTGTGGAAAGGTGGCTGGCTTTTAAAGAGTTGTGGACTTCAAGACCTCCGTGGAGAACTCTTTGAGTGCCTGTACACCAGAGGAAACAATTAAAATCAGGAACCTCCTATGTGAAGGAGTTGAAACAGATCAAGTCAACTGTTCAAATTAAGGTCTTGTTCTGTATATTAACACTCAGAATTTTCTGTGATTTAACAGGCACGGTATCCTACCTCAATCCAGGATGGGGTGCAGCTTGTCTTAGTAACACAACCTTAATTCAGTTTTGGCTGCATGATCCAGTAGGGATGTACACTCCTACACTGAGCTTTCAGGGTGTTTTCCCAGAGCTCATCTAGGAGGCCTCTACCACCTGCAGATGATGCATTACAGGGAAATGCACTTTTTGCCCTGTGCTTTATGCAGCTCTACCAAATGCAGAAACCTCCTTGTAAGTCCCCAAGGTACTTCCTAGCCAGTCTGATGGAACACATGGGTCAATATTTGTCTGGGAATCAGCATATTTGGTTTCTAACTCAGGGCTGCAACTCTGTATAATGAAGGGTCAGCCAGTCCTTCTGTAAAATTATTCTCTTCCACCATGGTCTGCTGTGGCTGTTCAGCTGTGTGGCACCAGAGATTACTTTTGCGTATTTGCACAGTGGCTGTACAGTGAGATCCTAAGCTTGGGTCAGAATACTCATAGTTTAGCAGGAAGAAAACCATTAAGCTTTGGAGGTCCATGGCAACATGGTGGCTGATGGCCTGGTCCCATGTCTGAGGCAAATTTGGTGGAATATACTCACTGATTCCTTTCCATTCTTCCTTGAAGAATAGGACATAGACTTGTAAGCAGCCCCTTGAGGTCTTTCAGTCTTGCTACAGGTAACTGGCCCATTACAGTTCCTCAGTCCTTTATCCTGATTAGGTTTCTTGTCTCTATTAATCCTTAAAGGAGGTTGATTTCTCACAGAATATGACATCTCCCATAGGCAGAAACTTCATGGAGATTTTTTTTTTACTCCAATGATACTTAAAAAAAAAAATAAGTAATGTTTTTCTTTCTGTAAATACTGATGTCTATAATAAATTTATTTTATTTAAAACCCCAACACTTTGGGTATATTAACTTAATCTGTAATATAAAATGTTAATTTTTTAAATAAATGTAATGTGACATTGGTGTGTTCTGTTTGTTGTGTTTGAACCTCCTCCCAAGAGGCCTGAATCAAATACTTCTCCAGAAGAGAGGACATTCCCAATGGCTTTGGTGGGTACTGTATCAAGTCCTCTGATTCTGTGTCAAGAAGTATATAAGCAGAATAAATGTGTTTCTCTTCAGGGAGGATTCAGTGATTATTCCTGAAATGAAAGCATCTTGATCCGGGTATATGGTCACCCTGGTGAAGTGAATGCAAATCTGGTAGCAGAGTGGTTCTAACTGCTTCATCAGCCACACCCAGCCATGGCTGGGCAATTGGCATTGGCAAAGGGACCTTGGAAAGCTTAGAGGGTCGTAAAGGATCACATTTTACTGGTTTATTTCCCAGGCTGCTCTTTTGGTTTTTTTCCTTATCACTGCAGAAGTACCTGTGGTGTTTTAAGTCTGTAGGAACCACACCTTGGGAGTGGGAAAATGTATCTACAGTGGGAGTCCAGACAAGGTCACTTTTGAATGGTGACACCTCAGCTGATATTATCTATGCTGCTTTTGGTAGAGGCCCTAAGAACTGAAGTTTTCACTGCCAAGTAATGCTGGAAGGACAGCATTTGGAGCGGACAGGCAGAGCCAGTTTCTGTGTCCAACATACTCATCTTCTGTCCATGCATGACAAATACTTCCAGCACCATCAATTGTGTATCAGCTTCATCCTTCACTTCTTAACCCAGAGAACTGTTCAGTTTTTTCCTAGGATATCCTAATGTGTTTCTTCTTGTTTTAGAATCCAGGAAAAAAAATAAAAAGGAAAATTTTCTATTGAAAAGCAAGTATGATTAATAAATAAATGATAGGCACACTGAATATTAGCTAAGATAGTGCTGCCCTACAATAGGTGAAATATACACAGCCGAACTAGGAGCACTCAGTAGTTTTGCACACATTAAATTATTTTTTTTCTGCGCCACTCAACATAGTCTCATTATGCCCCATTAAACCCTGATAATTAAAACAAAATATATTGGAATTGTTTATCCTGGACTTTGTAAGGAAATGAGGTTCATAATAATGCCAAGGGAAAAAATTTACACTACACCACAACTTGTAATTAGAATAACAATTAAGCACAAGTAGGCTCCTTTTTTGTTGCCTTTTTTGTTTTGGTTTGTCTTAGAATAAAGGTGAATCTTCTTCTTATTCATTAACTGAAATAGGTAAGAATTCCAAAATAAGAAATTCTACACATCGGAGTCTTGGTTAAATCATATGTTTAGGTGACACACCAAACAGCAACAGCGAGGGGTTTAGAGGGACTAGGAGTTGTCTCCAGCATGGCCAGTCTGAAAAAGGATTGATGACTCAAACTGAGCATTGTTATACCATGTTGCACCACCGCAGCAGCAGGAAAAGGCAAGGCTAGTAGCAAACCCTGTTGTGATGCATCGTACCAAGACCAATAAGGCTCTGAAGAGCTGTCCATGTAAAGAGCAGAAACAAAAAGGAATGAGTGCAGATCTTATATTCAGGCTGCCGCCAAGAACATCACACCCCAGGAACTGAAATTGGGAGATATGCTGATGAAGATCTACATGTTAAAGGACCAAGAGCATTGCATCATCTCTGCCCTGCCTCCAGCTCCAAGCCTGAGGGCACAGCCACAGCGAGGGGCTGCCTGGGCTGGAAGCAGAATGCCCTCAGCCATTCGTTGTGGAGAATCTGTACAGTGCTCAGCCCTGCAGCTCGAGGGCTGCTGGCTCCAGATCTTTGCATCCTCTCCACAGCTTGGGATCAGTGTGATGCTCCTCTAGCAAATAACACAGCTCATGTTTCCTACCCACAGGCACATGGAAAGCAATATTTCAAAGGGAGAACGACTCAGACAACCTTAGAAGAGAATCCAACCCCATGGTAAAGCTATAGGGTTATGCTCAGCCCCACGACAAAGCATAAAGTCCAATTTGGAACTAAAGTGGTCCGTGCATGTGAGGTATGTGCAGTCACACTGTACTGCTTAAGGTGGGGACACCACAAAACCTGGCCCTGACAACACTGCAGTGAGATGGCAGTGGGGTGTCGGTATGCTATGGGAGAGAGCTAAGAGCAAGGAGTACAAAATTCACGAGAGTGGTCTCCTGTTTGTAGAAATGTTTGTTTTAAGGGATTCCTGTGACATACCTTTCACAAGGTATAGATGACAGAAAGTACTTCTCCGTTCTGAAGCAGGAGGAGGGATACACTGTGGATGTCTGGGGATGGGTAAGGCAGAAGGGATGGGCTTGGGGAAATTGGTCTGGGATGGTTTCCTTTGGTGGGGGGAGATAACTTAAATGTGCCTGCCCTGAGGACACTGGAGCACAGCAGTGCTGTAAGAAACTGAAAAGCCTCAGCTCTACTCTGTCCACTCTGCAGGCTTGAAAATGCTTCTCGATGTGAGGCATTCTGTTTGAAATGCTTGGTCTTTGTTCCAGACTGTCTGGGGTAGTATAGTTTCTTGTCCTCGGTTGTAGAAAATGGGGAAATTACTTGAAAGACCCGTGGAGGTAGTATTTATTCACAGTGATGGAGTTTGTCTCCGGAAAGAGAGGAGTTGCTGGGTGCCTGTGATAAGTTCCAGGGCTTTCCCACAGATACCGAACCCTGTGGACTATCACCGGTCCCTTTCAGATCACCCGTGCAAATACAAATATGTATACATGAGCCTTCTTTCTTATGTACACACCCAGGTGCACATGCGTTCATGTTCAGAGGCATCCTCATTCGTGGTTTCTCCAAATGATGGTGCAACTTATCCATAACCAAGGTGGAGTGCTCGAGCTAATTTGAGAACATTGCCACATTCAAAAGGTGCATTTCAAAGGCTTTGTGCCAAAGTATGTCACACCTCAGCCACTTCTCCCCTTCTGGCCTGGAGTGCAGCTCAGCTCTAAGGAGAGTAGTTAGCAGGTGTGAATTTGCCTTACCCTCGGTGAATGAGACAATTGTGCATTAAAGCAGCTAATAAAACGTTTTCTTTCTTCCTACTAGCTTTATTGCTAGAAGCCATTAACAGAATAAGGGGGACTGCTAACTTTCTATTCTCACAGGATGTGTGTGCTTTAGATTCATGCAGATACTAACCGATTCAGGCCTAGATCACAGCCTGTCTTATTCTGGAAAACCAAATCTGTAGGTTTTGCCTGGGAAAACGGCCTGATACTGAGAAGTGATTGACCCTTAACTGAAACCATGATTTGGTGATGTGTAAATCTAGGCCTTGTGACACAAAGCAGCGTTATGGTTTAAACCCCAGCACACTTGTTCAGATCTACTCACAGAAATCTTACTTGGTTAAATATCAGATTAAATTGAATTGTCAAGCAGCACAAAACCAGTGTTAAAAATCAGTATAGACTCTGTAGTGTGATCCATATCATAATCAACTATTTTCAACCAGGGTTGTTTTGCCTCATCAAATCCTGGCATAGTCCCAGCCTGTGCTTTGAGTCACTTCAAATGGTAAACATAGGTTTGGTAAACGCACAGCTCCAGGTAGAGGACTGATGACACTCAATAAGGCTCCTGACAGACTAATCTTCTGTGCCACTAGAGGTGCCACAAGGTACCTTCTTGTTTTCCATGGAAAGGGAAGGCAGGTGTGGTTTATGGGCTGTCTTCTGGGTGTCCACACAGTTCTGGCTCTGAATGGAAACATATAGTTCTCTTAGACACAATC